GAGGCGCGGTGATCACAGATGAACTGGTGAGATGTCAGGGGTTAGAGACCAATTTTTGGTGCTAGAGTCAACAATTTTTGTTTTGGGCTTGGATGTGGGGTGTGAGGGAAACAGAGGCAGCAAAATAAGAGTTAGTAGGTGTTTGGACTCTCCTGCTAATTATACGGATGAGTGAGTGAGCCCCTCTTTCCTGTGGGACTTCCAGGGGTCCCTGGTGGTTGGATGGATGGCTGTTTGCCAAGGCTCCTACTCTGTTTTTACTTTTCTGTAATAGGAGGACAAAATACCCACCCTCTAAGGCTGTTGGGAAAATAAAGTGGATAATATTGATATCAGACTTTCTGAAAAGAGTCAAGTGAACGCTCTGTGAGCAGATGTGGGGCCCTACTCGATGTTACCATTGGGTAAACACGTAGATTCAATATAAAATAGATACGTTAACTTTCTCAACAGTCCTGTGAGGTAGATATTTCTATGATCCATTTACTGAAGAGAGACTGAGGCCTATGGAGTTTGTATGACTGAGCCATAGTCCCAGAACCTATGCATCACCCAGGTGTGGAGAGTTGGAGTTGAGCAGTTACAGAAAGGGGTAAGATGGCATCATCCTTGGAGATGAGGAAAGAGACTTGCTCATTGTTAATACTCGGCTTTATGATCAGCAACATGAAACAAAGCGTTCCCTACAATGTGGTTTGCTTAATGCATTTCAAGAGTGTAAACTGGGGAGGAGAAAATCCCAACACACTTGTAGCCTTAAAGCTCTTCTGAAGTGCAATACAGAGGTCAGTCTCCTTGGGCAGGGACTGGAAGCTGACAGATTGCTGATGCGCCCACACTGCCGCTGCACCCAGCCGGGGCTGGACGGGACTGAAAGGACTCCAGTCATGCACCGAGGACCTAGGCCTCAAAGAGACCCCCGCTAAACCTCTGGTACTTTATCATGTCTGTCATTCCAGCTTTGAGTAATGTCAGTCCAGGTCCTTGTGTCCTGCTAACATCAGACGCAAGAAAGAGAAGTGAAGATGCGAGGAGGGGTGGAGCTGCCTGCCACTCTTCCAGGTGAAACCAGACTATTTCCCTCATCGAAGGCTGGCAGCCAGGTGGGAGATGCCCGCTTCAACCTTGTGGATCCTCCCTAACCCATGCCTAGTTGTTCCAGGCCTCAGATCATCTTGATACCCCTAGCAGAGGGCCTAATGAGTGAAAGGGATTTGCTGAGCAAATGGATAAATTTCCCATGGAAGTCCAAGGTTCCAAACCAGTGTCCCCAAACTCTGGCTTCTCTCAGCAGCTTCAGAGCCTTAGATCTGGCCCCTGACCTGAGTGCAGGCTGATCCTGCAGAAGAGAACATTTCAAAGAAAAGTGACATTCCTCCCCACTGCTTACCTTTCTGTGTCCTAGACAAGGAGCCCCAGACACAAAGACATCAGGGAGCATAAAAAGAAAATGTCTCTAGGAACACTGTAGGGTAACAGCCGGGCAGGAGCCTGGAATCTAGGCTCAAATCTACAACCAGCAAGCTGTGTGGCCTTGGATGGGTCACATAACCTCTCTGTACCTCTCCTTTCATCTCCAAAATGGAGAAGCAGTATTGTAGGTACAGGGCAGTTAGCTTTTGATATTGGATGACCTGATTTTGAATCCTAGTTGTACCACTTACCTGCAACAACCACTTCAATTTTTGACTAGGGCCTGGTTACACCAAAGCCCCAGGCTGCAGTATTCTCTTTGGTGAAATGAATAAAAGCAGTATATACTTAGGAGTTTGGAGTGGGGCATTCAATATAGTTATTTTCTGTATGTTTTAGGATAGTGCCTGGCTTCCAAGAACTGATTGTTATTGTAATGTTCCCTGTTTTAAATGATAAAGGGCTACTCTCCAGGCCTCCAAGAGTTTTGGTGCTGATGCCCTGACTTCATGAATAAGAAAGCTCAGAGGAATTCAGTAGCTACCTGGTCTTTTTTGTTTTCAAGTCTGACCGGAAACTCCTCCTCTCTTCAGTGGTGCCAGCCGCCCAGCCACACCCCCAGCTGACTGCTTTCCATAACAAAAGGCAAGGCCACGTTGGCCCACCAGGTCTCTACCCAGGAATCAGCAAATTCCTAGAAGCCACCACTGACTTTTTTTCATTAGCAACCTGTAGGTTTCAGCTACTAGAGCATCTAAAGAAAACAGACCCAGTCAGACCCTAAAGACTTAGACTCTTTCCAACTCTAGGAATCTGAGAGAGGAAGGGAATGAAGCACACTTTTGGAGTTTCTTCCAAAGTTTAGTGACATTCCTTGTGGCCAAAGCTTGGCCCTGTTTGCCCTGGGAGGAACTTGTAAGTGCTGTTGGGGGCTCAGGGATGAGTTGGGGTACAAGAGCACAGTTTTCAAAGCCTTTTCCCATCAAGTTCAAGTTTCAAGTTCTAGGATGAAATGATCTAAAAGTATTAAAAAGAAAACCTGAAAACTGCATATTAGCTTTTCAAATTCTCCTTTGCCCCTTATTCTGAATGTACACTAGGCCCTAGAAATGAAGAAGACAGGTGCTTTAAGTTATAAATGTGCCTAATTGGCCTCAGCCTAAGGCTGCAATTTGACTTCAGGCCCTAGTCCCTGGGGACACCCCAGAACAAGAGTGCTTAACAATATGCCATGATCCACACATCTTTTCCTCGTCACTGTTGAGAACACCACGAAGTGAAATAAATTTCACTTAACTCAGGTCCGTAATTTCTGACTTGGTTCCTAGTTGGAAAGCAGGTGCAGACTTTGACCTGAGAATATCAGAGGCACAGGCAGCTTAGTCCCTTTCCCTTTAATCCCATGCCCAGCAGGAGGCAGTTCCCTGTGAAGACTTGCCCTCAGGACAGCTTCTTCAGTCTTGGGAATGTGGTCCAAGCCACCCTGCTGCCCTTTGCAGTTAGTTGTTCAGATCAGAAGCAGATTATTCTCATTGTCTTTGTTCTCATAAATACTAATGTTCTGGCATTTAATATCCATTAACTACCAGGATCTAGATACCTACAAATACAGGTTATGTTTTTCACTGTGTCTTCCCTCTGCCTGTATTCCTCCCCACCCACTTCAGCCCCCAAATAATAACACAGGTAGTAGATACCAGTTCTGAGAAATACTTATTACTGGGTTGTACCTACTCACAACTGGTTCTCCTTAGGAGAAAAAGCACCTCATGAAACACTGTCCTATACACACCCAGAGGTCTAATTCATTCAGGGCTCAACGACTAGCCCTAAGACCTAGGACTTTTTGTGGGGAATGGAACTTTCTTTCCATACTGGCAAATTGTGGGTGTTGGTTTAGATCAGTGGTTCTCAACCAGGGCTACTTTTGTCCCCCAGGGGATATCTGGCAATGTTTGGAGGTACTCTTCGTTGTCACATATGGCTAGGGCCAGGGGTTCAGGGTTGCTGTTAAACACCCTGTGATGCAAAGGGCCACCCCTTCAACAAAATTATGTAGCCCCCAACATCAATAGTGCTGATGCTCAGAAACCCTAGACCAAAAACCTCATCTCTCATCTTCCAGATGAGGCCACATTCAAGTTTTCTAGCTATTTGCTTGGAAACAATGGGCTGCCTGTGACCCTCTGGAGCACCCAGGGCTCCAACTGAGGAGTGTTGCCAGCTGGTGAAACCTTTCCAGCACATTTCTTTCTACAACAGACATCACCTGATGCACTGAATCTCACTTTAAGTGACAGAAAATGTCACTCAGTAATGAAATGCTCATAGGCCTGTAGACCCTCCCCAGAGTAACTGCTTCATTTAAGCCCTTTCAGATGTGGGTGGGTAGAAGACAAAAAATCTATTCCTCCCCCTCAACACAAAGTCCCTGGAGTGGCTCTGGTGTCATGCCACTCACATGTCTATACTTTTAGGAGAAACTGGAGACAGAAAAACAATAATGCTGAAAAATGGCCAGAAGTCATCCCATTTTGGGTTTATTTCATGTGATTCTCACATGAAAGTACACAGTGTACTTTCTTTGGGGAAATTTTTGTCTCAGTTCACATTATAAGTTATTTTACAAATATAGAACCGTGTTAGAAATAATATTTATAAAAGTTAGTGATTTCTCACATGGAATATCCACTGAAACTGGATTTTTGTACACACAGTAGGGGAGTAGGTAGTCTCTTTGGTTATCTTCCTATAGGCACACTTTGGCATTATTTCAGGTTTGGTGCTAGACCATCTCCATAAAGCAAGTATCACAACAAAGCAAGTCATCATCTATTTTTGCTGATGAAGGGTTTTGCCTGCAATTTATAAAAAATGCAACCTCTGTAAAGCACAATAAAACCAGGTACACCTGTCCATTCATAATATTTAAACAATGGTGATGTTACTTATATCTCAACAAACTCTTTTAAAAACTAGTTTCCTGTATTTCAAAATAAAAATTTAAGAGTAATGCAGTCAGTTTCAAAAAAATACACAGAAAAAAATTAAACTTTTTTTTACTATGTACTTGTTTCTTTTTAAAAAAAAATTAAAACCCCAAACCAACAATATGATACAAAGGCAATTCATAGGACATTACCTTCATCTTAAAATAACATTGTTCCAATAAAATCAACTAGAGTTAAGCAGTGACTCAGTATCTGCCTTGTACCCAGCACTCTGCTGGGTACTGGGAGGGTGGCCATGACAACTATTCAAATGAAAATATCTCTTGAGAAGTAAAATGGAGTGCTAAAAATAAATTATATATATTTTTTAAATTACCACAAATGATTTTTTAAAAATTATAAAAATTCCATTTAAAAACTACTTTTAATAAAAATTCTAATGCTGTTAAAAAAAATCCAGAACACATGCTAGAAGGGATAGGATATCAAGTTAACTAAGACAATTGTCACACAGGCCTCAGGAATATGGCAGAAGTAAAGCAGATGTGGTGCCATCCTTGCTGCTCAGGGGAACATCTCAAGTAAGTTATTTCAATCGGAATCTTTGGTCAAATGTGATCTAGCTCATTCCTACCCTCTCTATACTGTGTCTGCCCTTGTTTTTCAGGAACTAGAACACCAAGTTACAAGCTCCAGCTCTGATGCCAGACTGCCTAGACCTGATACTAGATCACGACTTCCTATTTGTGTGGCCTTGAGTTACTTGACATCTCAGAGTTTCACAGCCTCATATGAAAATGAGGGCTTGTAATAATACCTATCTCCCAAAGTTATTTTGAGGACTAAATGAGCCAAGTATCTAGAACAGCACCTGGCACATAGGGCTTGCTTGGGTAGTTTTATTGGTGTTATTACCTACCATATTTCAGACACTGACCATAAGCAGAAGTGATTCATGAGCTGTATATAGCTTAAGGATCTGTGGAATTCCCTACTATAGTATTTTTAAAACTTTAACTAGTGGCCAAGAATTCAAATGGAGGTTTGCTACAAAAATACTGATGTGACTTTTCTAGGAAAATCAAAATGCTGCCAGGCAGGAAGAAAACTAGCTGCCCCCAACCACTCCTTACTGCTTTAATCGCCAGTTACTACCTTTTTCCTACTCAGTAACTTCATTCACTTGTTTTAGCCAGCCCATGTACACATTTTAGCTTGTAACCCTCATACACAGTGATAGACAAAACAGATAAGGTCCCTGTCCTCTTAGAGCTCTAGGTACTATCCTAGAACAGAGTGGGGTATATTTCTCTCCGGAGAGGCCCTTATCCAGAGAAACCTGTAAAATCTTTCTGGGTTGTAGAAAGAATTATCTACTATACCCAAACTACTCCCAAGTGTGGTCAATGGGCCAGAAGATCACCTGGGAGGTCCAGAGAAATGTAGAACCTACCCAAACCTACTGCTTTGGAATCTATATTTTAAATAATATCTCAGGTGTGCATGCTCAACTCTAAGAAGTTGTGTTCTATACCTCAGAGCCCTCCCGGGGATAGATGAGGCTGTTGACCATGCTGAAGTTGTAGAAAGGGGGGCTGAAGGGACTGCTCTGCCCCCCACCAGTGCTGGCAGGGAAAGGGCTATAATAAGAAGATCTTTGGCTGCTGCTGGTGCTGGTACTGTTATTTAGCTGCAAGGTGTCTGATGAGGCTTCTGGGATGGTGCTGGTAGGGTATGTGCTGCTGGAGGGCAGGTGGGCGCCCTGGATCCCTAGGTGGTGACTGCCAGGGACAGCTCGCTGGGTGCTCCCATTGCTGCTCACACTTAAGGTGCTGAGGCTGCTGAAGAAGGTGTTGAGGCAAGGGGTAGAGGTGAGCATGGGCCCTCCCGGAGAGGAGACAGTACTCTTTGTGCTCTCAGGAGGCTCTGGGGACTGGGAAGACCTCAGCAAAGCTGAGGAGCTGTCTCCTTCTGGCTTCCCACCCACTCCAGACCCCAATCCTGAGGAGAGACCCTCTTCTGATTTTGATGTCCCCGCAGCCACCGTGGAGCTGCCGCTGGCCTCAGAGCGGCGCTTTCGCTTCCGGCGGAAGTTCCCATTGTCAAACATTTTCTCACAGTTTGGATCCAGGGTCCAGTAATTACCTTTTCCTATGGTAATGAGAAAGACAGCTGTTAGAGAAGGAAATGTTTATGCCCACCGGTTCAACTTCTCTTTTCGGAGAAAGAGGGCAGACTTTCAATTAAATGTTGACAAAGATGTTCACTCATTTACTGTTTAAAGTTATCCTGATTGTATTTATCTTTAAGGAAAATTCTGGAACAAAGGTGTTCTGGCCACTTTTACCTCCTCCTGGCAGTGTCCGCTACTTAAATTTTAAGACCTAATTTTATTCACAAGTAACTTAAAATTACCCAACATTTTCCCTTCTAGATCCAAATGGAGTGCTTTTGTAAAATCCTGGCACTTCTTAAACTGACCTCCATTTATTTATTTATAAAAACAGAGATAAGAATGGTCCCCACCTCACTGGTTGGCTGTGAGGGTTAAATAATATTTTTGCATAGTAGCTGGCATACAGAAAGCAGTGTAAAAACAGTATCTGTTATCAAGTCTTCCAAGTTTTCCCTCCACTCGGCAAATATCAGGGATCAGGGCCACATTTAATGCATATAATGCTAGTAGTCTCTTGCTTAGAAAGTTTCACTCACAATTTAACTAGCACAATTGAGGTAAAAAAGATCTATTCTCAAGGATTTTATGTCCCAATGGCCCTTTTCCCTTTGGTAAAGACAATCAACAGCAGCTAAAAGTATTGTTAATCACTTACGTTACAGTGAGTGCTTTACATGAATAACCTGGGTTATTCCTCACAGCTCTATGCAGACAGCAATATTATCACCTTCATTTTTCACGTGGAGAAACAGGTTCAGACTGGTTAGTTCCCTGCTGTATTCCCAGTTCACAACAATAGAGCCAGGAATGCTCTTCACTAATCACCTCCACAAACTGGCATGCACTCCCCACACCCATTTTTTCTACTGACACATCTTCTGCAAATAGTTGCAGAAAAAAAGTTATTCATATAACTACCATCTCAATAATAATATATGCACCTATCAGGATAATTATATATTGTGCCACCTTGGTACCAAGCACTTTGACAAGACACTAGATCCTTAAACTTTTCAGAAGGTCCAGAGGAGTGTACATGAAATTTAAGTGGCATCTCAGGTTAGAGGCTGAATGTGGAAGATGCACATTCTAGAACTACATGCCTGGTCCTATCCAGTAATCACTAGCCACATATGGCTGCTGGGCACTTGAAAAGTAGCTAGCCCAAAGTGAGATGTGGTGTAAAACTCACAGGATTTTGAAGACCTGGTACCAAAAAAAGTAATATAAAGTACCACACTAATATTTTTAATATTTGTTATAGGTTGAAACAATTATTTTGGGTTACTTAAAAAAACACTAAGTCCACTGGTTTCTTTTTACTTTTTTAATGTGACTACCAGGAAATTTACAATTACATGTGGCTCGTACTATATTTCTTTTTTTAATTTATTTTTAGAGAGGGAAGGGAGGGAGAAAGAGAGAGAGAGAGAGAGAGAGACATCAATGTGCGGTTGCTGGGGACCTGGCCTGCAACCCAGGCATGTGCCCTGGCTGGGAGTCCAACCTGCGACTTTGGTTCGCAGCCCGAGCTCAATCCACTGAGCTATGCCAGCCAGGGTCATACTATATTTCTTGGACACCACTGCTTTAGAATGACTTCAGGTATGAGTACACAAAGTTGTCTGTATAATTTACACAAAATTCTGGGTCTCTGGAGTGTGCAACTGGAATGGTTCTATGTCTCTTCTCCTTTTCCTGTCACAACTCTGCTCCCACCTCCCCTGTTCTGGTTTCCTTCTGAAAACCTCAAGTAGAATTATGTTTCTGTCTAGTTTTTCAGCTTTTCTCCACCTCCACTTCCCAAGTAGAGGGAAATCACCAACCCAGTCCTCCTCATCCCAGCGCTTAGATCAGAAAGAAGCAAATTTGGGGGTTTCATTTTTACGTTTTCAAATAAGTTAAGGAACCAAGACCACAATTTGCAGGACTAAGCTAAAGTTCTCTGATCCTTCTGCCCCCCTCCCCTCACACCCCTCCCCTACCTGTTTCACGCCTGAGTCCCTCATCCTCCAATCATCTCTCTCAAGGTAGGCAGGGTATCTGTTTTACGAAGGACGCAGTGAGTCTCCCAGGAACCTGATGCACGGGGAAGTGCATCCATGGGCAGCTGAAGGGCCTAAGGTTCCTCTTGGTTTCTCACCACCGCTTTTGTGATATGTGATGGGATTCTCAGCTCATCCCAATACCTTTACAGTCACACTTATCTGAGACCTCACTGAGTTCTTATTCTTAATCTACCTCCTTGTAACTTGATCCTCCCCCTTCAACAGGCGCAGAAGTGGCTTCCCGTTGAGAACACAGGCTTTTTCCTTTTTCTCTATTTGTCCAGTCTCGGGGGGAGCGAGGGCGAGGGAGGGAGAAGGGGGAGAGAGGGAATGAGGTGTAAGAAACCAGCTCCTCCATTACAAGTCCTCGCTCCGAGGGTCCTCTGATACGTCTTTGTCCAGTAAGAGGTTTGGGTAGTTGTCCTGCCACGGGCTCGCACCCCCAGTTAGGACCAGAAGACTCCGCGCGCGGATCTCAAATCAACCACACCGAGACTACCCACCCCGCCACAGACCGGGAAGGAAGCACCTGCCCCGCTGTCCTCACCTGGGTCGTCCTCGTCGCGGGGCACCTTCTTGAAGCAGTCGTTGAGCGACAGGTTGTGGCGAATGGAGTTCTGCCAGCCCGCCTTGCTGCGCTGGTAGAAAGGGAAGCTGTCGGCCACGAACTGGTAGATGTGGCTGAGTGTGAGCTTGCGCTCGGGCGCGCTCTGAATGGCCATGGCGATGAGTGCCGAGTAGGAGTAGGGCGGCCGCACCATCTTCATTAGATCCTCACGGCTGGCCATGGACAACCAGCCCAGGTCGCAGGGCGCGGAAGGTGCGGCAGGCGCCGCGGGACCTGTGGGCGCAGGCTGAGCCAGGGACCGCTGAGCGCAGGCGAAGGTGCCGGCAGCGGTCGGCGGCTGCAGGAAGGGCCCAGCTGAGCCCCGGGGGGGCGGCGCCGGCGGCGGGGCGCCCAGGTACGCCGCTGCCGCTGCGGCGGCTGCAGGGGCGCCCACGCTCGGCCCGTTGAGCCACAGGTAAGGGTTGGCGGTGGCGGCGGGGGTTGCGGTGTAGTCGGCCAGCCCGTAGGGCGCCCTGGCGGTCGCCTGGGCGCCCGGGGTCGCGGCAGCGGACTGGGGCAGGCCGGACTGCGAGTACACGCCGAAGTTGTCGCCGCAGTAGAGAGCCATTTCGGTGGTCGTGGGCGGGTGCGGCGCTGCGGCTGCGAGGGGCGAGCGGGGTTGATCTCGCCGCTCGGGCGAGAGCATCCCTTTAGGAGCCAACCCTGACTCGCTTCTGCTCTGGCTCTGCGACCGTGGGTCCCGGCTGGGAACTGGCTGAAGTGCGCGAAGCGCAAGCCAGCGAACTTCTTATACTCGTCTGCACGCCCCCCCACCCCCAGGGCCGGGTTGGGCGGTGGCCCCGGGCGGGCTCTCCAGGCCGCCGCCACGCCCTACCTGCCCGCGCCGCGGGGCGGAGCGCGCTCGGCCCCAGCGGCCCCTCTTCGCCTGGCCCCTTTGCCCGGGAGTCCCAGGGAGGCCCGCGCCTCCAGGTTTAAGGCGAAAAAGTACCCACCCCTTCCTAGCTAATGTAGCCTTAGCACAATAATGAAATAAAGCAACGAATATTAAAACAAAGAGATGATAACCAAAAGAGTACAAATATTTCTCAAAAGTCCGTGCGTTTAACTTCGGATGGCCGCTTGGGCCACCTGCCTGCCTACCCCTCACTGTTTTTTCTACCTCCAGTCTCTGCAGCTTTTATGATCGAAGTTCAGATTCACGTCATCTCAACTGATCCGCTCCCATTCGAGCATAATAAACGTGATTTGCAACTCTTTGGCATACACAGTAGTTTATATTAACAGGCATCTTTGGCGTGTCCCCTTCTAGGGAACTCTGTGATCCGAGGAACTGAAATCGGTTTTAATTTTTCTAATCATGTCTCTTAAACATATAACTGTTTGTTCGTTCATATTCGGGAAGTATTTGTTCATGTTTATGTCTGCTGTATGCATTCGTTTGGCGTGATTTGTTGTCTTCGAAAACAGAAAAGTGGACGTTTTCAAAGACATTTAAATAAGTGGGTTTGAAATTAGCATTTTAAAGCCAAGTTTAAGTTAAGCTGCGTGCCAGAAGAGCTCATTAAAAAAAATAAAATAAGGTCACAAATTATGGTACTTTCGTAAAATAGTTGTTTTTTTTTTTTTTTTTTTTTTACAAACTACTTGTGTAGGTTTTCAAATGCTTGTCCCTGCCTGGGAAAACAAACAAAACCAGGAAAACCCTGTAGCGACACTACATGCCACGCATTCATTGTCTCTGAATATTAATAAGAAAATTGTTTTTTACAAATTAAAACTGTCCCTAAATATGTTCTTAGTAAATGACAGGTCTGAGATTCTAATATTTAAGGGAGACGGGAGAGGAAAACGTTTTTTCCCTTCATTTGCCCATTACAGTCTGACAGCTCAGAGTACCTAGTAATTCGGAACCCACTCACCTCTCAACCCTGCATTGATTTCCATGGTAAAGTTAGTCATGTACTTGGGGGGAAATTGTCTCTTCCGTATATAATTTTATATAATGAAATGTAGAGGTACTTAACAAGCAAATTTTGGTACCTAAAGCACAAATCACATTTCAAAAGTAACTATTTTTCTCATCTTTTCTGGAAACTGAAAGGAATTGTTTGTCCACTCTAAAGCGGTTAGAGTGGACAAGCACACTTTCTGCGTTCTGGCAAATGCTGTAGAATGGAATAGTGTTTGCCTTCATTATATTTTGATTTCAGGGTCTAAATGTTTCTTAATTTAGATAAACGCAGTGCTTTTTTCTCCCCCATCCTTCCCTAATAGCCCCAAACGAAGTTTTGTTCTGTAATTCTCTTGGAATGATGTTAAGGATGATGAGTATAGCCCAGGAAATTGGAAAGCAATGTCTAATGGGTTACTATATTGCCCAATTTTAATATTATTTTCCTAAACTATGGTCTAAACTAAAGAAAGTCCAAAAGAAAAACTGGGAACATAGATAGCAATAAATTATGAAAAATATGAAACCATCTTCCCCCTAATAATTGATTTCCTTAAGACTAAATACTATAGTTAATACCTCTCCTCATTTTTTAGCAAATTGCTTACCCATACATACTTTGCAGCTTTGCAAGGTTGTTTTTTAAGTCTAATTCTGAATTCAATAGCTCCAAATTATTCTGAGAGGCCATAATTGCAGACTTTTGTTTCTCCCTTCTGTTAAGGGTTCTGCCCAGTAGAGATATTTTGTTCCTTAACTCTACATTATCTTTTGCGGACTTTAGTTTTATTTAAAAATGACAGAGCCACCTAGCGGCTCTTTGGCTCTGTTACAGCATGGATCAGGATAGGGATCTGTGAGGTGGAAACACAGTCTAGGGGTTTGGAAGTTACACTTTTCTATTTTCAATCACATCTAAATTAGGTAAGCTTAAAACTATTGGTCATAGTCTGGATTTTTTAATGCCAAAGTTATGATAGTGTTATGCAAAGTTATGATAAATCTCTATTTTTAAAAGTTAGACAAATTTTAAAAAACAAGTTCCCCATAATAATGTTTTGTTAAAATGTTTTTTCACAAAAATATATAACCAAGGCAATTGATTAATGTATCTATGCCAGTATAAAATAAGGATAGACTGTTACATGTTTTCATCACTGGAAAATTAACATTTTGAGAAATCATTCTAGCCAAAGATAATATCTCATTTATTTTCTACTAACATTTGGTAAAATTCCTGTTGATTCTTTGAAATAGCTGAGTGATGACAGTGATTTATAATGGGCTTTTGTCATTTTTAATAAATAATATAACAATGTAAAATTTATTATAATCATTAATTTATAGCATCACAGAAACATTGGCACATTGTTTGCTAGTATTTTTACATATTTCCAGAGGAAGAAAAAGGTAATATAAATTGGAAATAATTTTAGTGCTCTTCACTTCTAATGGCTGCCAATTTAGAATAGGATTGAGCAGTGCAGGTCAGCCCTTCCTATTGCAGCATCATGTTTTTCTTTGTATTGGCTGTGAAAATGTCACAGGTGGAAATAATGAAATCTACTCCTGTCTCCTACCTGGCTTTCTACCTTGCACGATTATTGTTATGCCTATCTGACCTTTTCTAGTAAATCAGAGGCTTTTTGAAGAAAAATCCTTTCATGTAATACAGTTTTTTAAACACCTTGCCCATCATAGCATAAACAAATATCAATTGCTTAAAAATTAATATCTGATTAATTAATGAATTACTTGTAAATGCCACAGTGGAATATGCATAAGCCCATCCAAGGATGTGTGAACACACACACACACACACACACAAATTTGACTTATAGAAAATTTTCTATATCAGAAAAGGATAGAAGCATTACTTTGTTGTAGAGAAAAAGACCAGCTCTGAAAATAATTTACTAGAGTAATGGAAAAAACATTTTAGAAAATATCTGTTTTGTTCTCAATGAAACATAAGAAAGTTTGGCTTTTATGAAACAAGAAGTCAAAGTAAGATAAAAGATAAACACCCTTTTATCAAATAGGGATGAAAAAGAAACTAGAAGAGGTAAGAAAAATATATAAGATAACTAGAATTGTAGTTGAAGAGCACAGTTTAAAATATTGAAAAGACTTGACAGGTATGGTTTAGTTGGTTGGGTATCATCCTGCAAAGCAAAAGGTTACTGGTTCAATTCCTGGTCAGGGCAAGTACCTGGGTTATGGATTTGGTCCCCTTTGAGGCAGCTAGTCAGTGCGTCTCTCCTCTTTCTCCCTCCCTTCCTGTCTCTCTAAAAATAAATAAATAAAATATTTTTTAAGAATAAGATAAAACAGTGAAGTGAGAGTAATTGCCACATAAGCCAAATATATAAGATGAATTAGTGCATTTATTGTTTTTGGTGATGAAAGGATGGATTATTTAAGAAAAAATGTTGAAATGACCAGACCTGGACCCACTAGTTCATTCCTTACTTGCTGTCATTTTATTTTCAACTTTTGACCACTCAGTTGTTTATCACTTAAGATCTGGTAGTGTCATTAATGAGGGGCCAACTGACAGCCTTTGTCCTCTCCCTTTTATACCTCTAGGCTGTTACTCACAGATTCAAACAGAGCTCAGAGGGACCCTTCATTTGTTCCTTTAAGAAGTGTTGAGCGTCATGACTCCAGGTGCTGCCTGCCACCCTGCTTTCACAGTGACCAGTTTCATTTCATCTCTTGATGTTCCTGCTTCTGAAGCCTGTCCAGTTTCCTTTTCCTTGGCTTCTCTTGTTTGGTTTTTTTTTTCCTTTTTTTTGGTGGGAGACTCAAAAGAATCTTTCTTGTGCCTCCCCCTGATGGGATTAGGATGTGAAGAAAACCTAATTGTATATGAAAGGCAATGTGATTCCTAAGCCTTTCTTGGATAGGACTGCCTTGCTAATATGCCTTCCTGCTATGACTTACTTCATGAGAAGTTCTATTTTTCCACTTCCACTTGGGTATTACTTCTTAATACCTAAGCAAAGAGCAGAAAGGCTAGAGACACATACATGGATGGATTGGGTCCCGATCTATTTTCTCTGACACTAGCTGTGCATGTATCCTTCCTTATTCCAGAAGAAATAATTTGGACTGTATGGACTGATTTGGGTTACATACTCTAGAAGATTCAGGACACTGTAGTATTAGGGTCTCAAGACTGGTAATTACTGCATTCCCTCCACAGAGTTGTCTTGGTCAGGACAGTGGTCTAGTTACAGATTTGTCTTAAGTCTAAGAATTGTGATTACTTTTTAAAAAGTCAAACCTTGACAAGAGCTAAAATAACTGGGTAATCAGCCCTTGACTTTTATAGATAATTCCTTCTAAGGGAATATAGAGGTAAAGGAGGGTGTAAATGAGACTCTGGCCTACTTCCAGATAATGTCTGAGAAACAAGTTGAGGGTAAGGCCATAGTCCACTCTTCCTTCAGAGGGAAGCTCAGATTGTGGCATTATCATTTTCTTTCTGGCCTTTTCTTCTAGTCAGAGGAGGAAGTGGCAAGTTCTATTATCTGTCACTCTTGGTTTTTGGTTTTTGTCCCCCACTACTAGGGCAGTAGGCCCCTGCCCTGGATGGCTGTAAGATGGGCTGGAACAAACTAACTCCTTTTCGTTTTGATGTAGATAATGCT